TACATATTACATACAAGATTATATTAGAAATTTATTATATTTTACAATACTTAGAAAAAAAGTCAGTTATAGATTTTTGTTTAGCAAATGATATTCTAGACATAGCTAAGACTAATAAGGGAAATATTAAACTAGCTATAAATCTACTATAAATTGGAAAATCCAAATTGTACTTTTTAGATTACATACATAGTATTCATATCAATAATACTATGGTCGGATCAACCGGAGCGGCGGACTAGCCGAGGGCGTACGATAGGGGTTGTACTTTAGGTAGATATGCTCCGAAAAGATAAAAAATATAAAAGGCGGCGGCAGAAACCGGTGCAGTGGTTTTTTCTTGGCTTGCTCTCTGTAACGTCACGATGACGTAACGTTGCGAAACGGCGAAACGTTTGTGATTGCGAATAATTTTTGATAACAATAATATTGTTGTAAAGTTGTGCGCGGGAATATTCCCGTACGAACGGCTCACTGTTGTGTGATACGGCGACGGCGACCACTGCACCGTAAAAAAACAACAACAAAAACTAAAAAGTGTTGATAATAATAATGAGATTATGATTACAGTATTAATAATAATAATAATTTTTATAATATCACAATAACAAATCAACTACACCGTTTACCTGGTATTATAATAATTAATAGGTATTGTATTACTATACAAAACAATATTAGGTATACTTTTTCGTTTATTGTATCAGATTATCAAAAAGTGGACGGATCGACATTCGACAATCGTTGCTTGTTTCGGCCGAATTCCGTTCAAATCGTGGCTTGACGCAGTTACGTGCTCTTCGAGTGTTATTTTTCTCGACATTGCTCCCGYCGAGTCGCAGAACTTCCGGTATTTCAATTGTCCAATCGACAACGTTTATGTTTTTGTGATTTCAACCGACGACCATGTAATCTGCGAAGTCTCCAGTATCTCGTTTTATAATAATCCTATGTAAGTAAACGATCGTAGACATTGTTTATAGTAGTAATAATTGAAAATTATCCAAACGTCGAATAACTTGTAACGAAAA